AAAAGTATCGTCGAACAAAGTGGTAAAGCATATCCTTCCCAGATTCTGATAATCGTGACTGAATCAGTTTTTTTTGTATTTTTTTAGCTCTTGATCGAATCACCGAGTCGGTAAAAAGATCCCAAGTGATTGAATATCCTGATCAGCTTGGTAAACGAACGATTGACACAAATTCTGAAGAGTTTGAAGGAAAGAAGGTCTCGGATAGACTTAATGTACTGCTGCAACTTTTACACACAAAAGACTGGCAGTTATTTTGTAAGGATATTCCCGATGAGCAACAAAAGCCACCTCTAGTCCCAATTTCACAACGTGATTTGGAAATCAAACGAGTTCAGTTGAAGTCACTGGCACGTTCGTTGAAGCATGATTTGATTGACCTGGACCACCCTGACGTGTTAAAAAACTGGAAGGATATCCCGGCAAATGATAGGGATTTTTACATGTTGCGCCTGGAAAAGCTTGCGAATGACAAGGGATTCAAAATATACCAGTGTAAGAGAATGTGGTGTGCCAAAAGCTTGTTAAGGGAGAGCTTTAAAAGTGACAACCAAACACACAGAAGAAGGGTAACAGTAAAACATTCTTTAGCGGTTTATTTCATCAATATCGTTAACAAGGTAAAAAAATGTAGAATCAACAAGATCCCGATAGTTCAGACTCTATCAATGACGCTTTCGAAGATATGGGTCGCGATGAGTCCCCCATCATAGCAGACGTGCTGTAAGTTTTTTTATTGTTTTTCATGCATGATATATGTATACTCATATGCGATAATTATTTTTTATACAGTTCTCCTCCACCAGAGGTAGCGAATGAACCTTCACGTAAAAGAACCAGAAGAAGATAATAGTCGTGTCTGGTCGACATGATTGGTCCATTCTGGTTTTTAGCTTCTTTATTAGTGTGTATTTTAGCGTTCTTTTAGCTTACAATTTTTTCTCTCTTTCTTTTACTTTTATTTATCTTTTAAAATAAATAGCCTTCAAATAATGATGGTAAGGGTATATACCACCTTCAAAATAACGGAAAGTGTGAACAATTATGTTGGAATTGGGTATGTTTGCAATGACTGAAGCAATGACATGTAATCTGTATAAAAACTAAAGGGTTTTTTTTTAGATAAAAATTTAGCCTATTTTTTTTTTATTTTGATCAAACTGAAGTACGTCTGTATAATATAACCATTTTCCATAGATAATGGTCCTCATCAATAAACGGTTCTATCTTTACAGGTAAATAGCCTTTAAAAAGTTATGTTTTATTCTTATTGATATCATACTACTTACATATAGACTATTTCTTCTGTGTACCTTTCACTCAAACGACGACATTTTAGGAACACCACCGGTCAAATAATCATCGACATCAGAACTTAAGGCTGGTAATAAAATACAGAATTAATTACAATATTACTATTTTCTAACAATACTTTTATAGAGTGTTAAGAGAGTCAAAGGTAAGCTAAAGTAACATCCAAGCATTATAATGGTATATCTTATTGCCATGTATACAACCACATACCTAAATAAAAAGGTTAAAGTTATATCAAACCCTCCTATACACCACTGAAATATAAATAAACAATCCAATAAAACGTGCTTTACTACCAATAATAACGATGAATAAGAAAATGTGAGCCTACCAAATATAAAAGAATGGGTCTAAAAGAAAGGTTAAGGGTTTGTCCGTTTTAAAAAAAATGGCAGCTGTGAACGTTTTGTTATTATAGAATATCATAACTGCCGCTTTTACAAGCCAGGAAAATGGAAGCTGTGAATGATTTGTCTTCAACAAACTAAAATAGATGCCATTTTTTAAAACCAAAAAACAGCAGCAGTGAACCTCTTGGCTTCATTCAACTGTTAAAGGTGCCATTTTTGCCAGCCAAAAATATGGCAGTTGTGCCTCTTTTGTTATTATAGAATATCATATCTGCCACTTTTGCACGCCAAAAAAATGGCAGTTTTGTGAAGTAAATGGCAGATAGCTGCCATTATTTCCGCCATAGTGCACCCCTGGAAAGAAACAGGGACATGCTTTCTCGATGACGTGATACAATCCGTAATAACATCCAAATTGTTTCTTAAGATGTAGAAAGTATAGTTGGCGATTGAGACGGTTTGATATCGCTTTGTGTAGTATTACTTTGGATCCTTGGAAATTTCTACTGTTATCAGATCGAATAAATGTTTGCCAATACCTCTGGCTAAAAGATGGAGCTCGTCCAACGCAAAAAATGAGGTGCCGGAAAATGTCGATTGCTCATTCAAAACACTAGGTTGGTAAATGATTTTATCTATAGTAGTTACACTTTATTGATCTGGAGAAAACAAAAGATCAAGTGATTATACTTACAAGATTTCCAGTTATGTAGTCTTACGGTGGTCAGAATGGGGCTGAACTATGGTCAAAATACTTTCCATAAGAGTTATTGTCTGGAATTCTCCGTTTCGATTCCCAAAAATGACAACCGTATGTACTGGTATGAGAGCCGATGTGAGCCATATCCACCACAGCTGGAATATCACCAAAAGCCAGCAACAAACATACTTTGGAGCGACTGATTTCCATATCACCACGTTTAACAACAAGCCCCTGGGTTTCCGAATCGTTTAACTCGTCGATGATGGGCCGCAAGAATGAATCCAGATGAGTAGGTTTTTTAGGAGCAGGTAAAATTGCTAGCTGTAACATATGCTCGTTTGTGTATCTAATGTCTAGTGTTTAGAAAGTTGTAACTTTTAAGACCAGTATAAGTTGTTACCTGTTGGAAGGATCCAGATTGAATATCACAACGTGGATGATTGTAAAAGAATTTTATCACTTCTTTTGGTTTTCAAACCCATCCGTGTAAAGACCAATGGCGTTATCGTCAGGATTGGATAACAATCCCTTTCTTACCAGAACTTTGTAAATTTGCCCATCGAAAATATCACTTATTTGCATTTTACTTGATTCCCTGTTGGCTCTATGTTTAGAAGGTCTCTAGTGTGAGGATCAGCCAACATATTGGAAAGAAGATCGCCGATAGACATCAATTCCATACTGGCGTTGGGGACCTTAATCAATTCAGTGCCAGTCTTATATCGCTTTTTGTGACAGTCCATACATTGGTCCTCTTCATCATCCAATCCATACAATCTACAGCCGTTGGGACAGACATCATATTCGTGGCCATGAACACTGGATTTAGCTTTGACTAAAACATCAACAACCTCACAATAATTAATATTGGCTCCGGGTTCTGAATGAATTACCAATGTGATGTTAGAAAACTTAATGTATCAAGGCCATATGTACATTTTTATTACCCATCATTATCTCATCGTGGTCCGGAATAAACGTATTAATAAATCATACAATGTCCCTGTAAGCAGCTCTAGCTATATTGTGTTGCAGCATCAATTGGGAAAGATGAATGCTCATTAATTCAGCTTTTGTGAATGTGTTGCAGCCGATTCTACAGGCTTGATAAACGTGAGCCCTGCGTTTATTTCCTTCAAAGCTGCATCCGCAATTATAATTGATTTGGTCATCAACATTCATGCAAACGGGGGTAGAGAATAAAATTACCTTTTAAGTTATTTTTAAAATAAGGAGATAAGGTAGTTATTTGTACCATAATTACTAACGTCTCCATTATCAGCAGAATTACAATTGCTTTCTTTCATATCGGTATCTTCAGATGTTGTTGTTCGTATACGAACTCTCTTATAATTTTGGAGTTGACGCTAACGGTCAAGGATCATCAAACAGCTGTCTCATTGAAAATCTTCACCAGGAAGTCTATATCTTTGTCTGTTGGCATTTGAAGAAGAGGAGGAAGGGAATGACATTTGAAAATTTTGGTATTTGTGGAACTTTGATTTATATTTAGAAAATGTAACCTGTGATAGTTAAGGATAGAGATAAATAAAGAAAAACAATAAAGTACTTTGAGACTGCTTATAAGTTTTATTAAGAGTAAAAGTAGATAAAAAGTTTGAGAGAATTCTATTCTAACTATCAGTTTGCATATTTATATATGTTAAGAGAAATCGGATTATGAATTTAGTCTGATGGATTAGTTACACAGTACTAAAATAGTGCTTGTAGTTGGATATGATATAATGCATAAGAAATTAATTTGTGTCGTGATGAAATGAGATTTAATTTTAATATTGTTTTATGGTGTGATTAGTAACAACAGTAGGTGGATCACCACATAACCGGTGTAAGTAATGTCTATATGTAAGGTGCTTTTTATATACTCAATAACTTAAGTTTAAAATCGCCTCTTCAATTTTTTCCCTTTAATAGTGTCATACGTGAATGATGAAAGTTTCCTGGAAGATGACGACATTTACGATATATTCTAAGCTATGGTCTTTGACCTTAAGTATTAATTTCGATTTTGTTTCCGTCATTTAAATTTTAAAACGCCATGACATGACGACATGTCGTCAAAAAAAAAAACAAAAAAAAAAACCAAAAAAAAAACAAACAAAAAAAAAAAACAAAAAAAAACTAAACAAAAAAAAAACAAAAAAAAAACAAAAAAAAAACAAAAAACAAAAAAAAAATGACATAATTTAGATAAGCGGACAATTCAACTCCAAGCAACTAAAGGTGGTGTTGTATCGCAGATGTATTGAATCATAGAAACAATAGAAATCCAATATTAGATCTCAGTAGACAGACTGGAGATCGTAATCATGGAAAGATTGTCATGAACGAATAAGAATACATGGATAAACATTTATTCAATTCAAATGGATAAACGATTGAATAGTAAATCCCGATTGGATCTACTATTAGTTTAGACACAGCTTCGTAAAAGTATAAATACGAGCTCATTCAACTCTTAATAAAAGGTTATCTTTACTTTGATTATTCATAAAGACCCATTTTGATATCTACGATATTACAGGTGGGATACAAATACATTACATATACTAGCCTACCTTCTTTTAACTTTTTAATCATTAAAAAAAATTTTTTAAAAGAAACATTTCCAAATGTCGGATATGAATATTGCAATCACCAATTCTGTTCGTAAAATCGAATTTGACGTTACCGAGATCGAACAAATGATAGCTGCGCTGTCTGATCAGTTCAAAAATCAATTTGCACCAAGCATCACCGATTAAGATGTAAATATGATACAAAAAAGTATCGTCGAACAAAGTGGTAAAGCCTATCCTTCCCGGATTCTGATAATCGTGACTAAATCAGTTTTTTTTTGTATATTTGTTTTAGCTCTTGATCGAATAACCGAGTCGGTAAAAAGATCCCAAGTGATTGAATATCCTGATCAGCTAGGTAAACGAACGATTGACACAAATTCTGAAGAGTTTGAAGGAAAGAAGGTCTCGGATAGACTTAATGTACTGTTGCAACTTTTAGACACAAAAGACTGGCAAGGATATTCCCGGTGAGCAACAAAGGCCACCTCTAGTCCCAATTTTACAACGTGATTTGGACATCAAACGAGTTCAGTTGAAGTCACTGGAACGTTCGTTCCAGCATGATTTGATTGACCTGGATCACCCTGACGTGCTAAAAAACTGGAAGGATATCCCGGCAACTGATACGTATTTTTACATGTTGCGCCCGGAAAAGCTTGCGAATGACAAGGCATTTAAAATACACCAGTGTAAGAGAATGTGGTGTGCCAAAAGCATGTTAAGGGAGAGCTTTAGAAGTGACAACCAAACACACAGAAGAAGGGTAACAGTAAAATATTCTTTAGCGGTTTATTTCATCAATATCGTTAACAAGGTAAAAAAATGTAAAATCAACAGGATCCCCATAGTTCAGACTCTATCAATGACGCTTTCGAAGATATGGGTCGCGATGAGTCCCCTATCATAGCAACCGTGCTGTAAGTTTTTTTTATTGTTTTTCATGCATGATATATGCTTACTCATATGCGATAATTATTTTCTATATAGTTTTCCTCCACCAGAGGTCGCGAATGAACCTTCAGGTAAAAGAACCTGAAGAAGATAATAGTCGTGTCTAGTCGACATGATTGGCCCATTCTGGTTTTTAGTTTCTTTATTAGTGTGTATTTTAGCGTTCTTTTAGCTTACAATCTTTTCTCTCTTTCTTTTATTTTTATTTATCTTTTAAAATAAATAGCCTTCAAATAACGATGGTAAGGGTATATAGCCCATTTAAAATAACGGAAAGTGGGAACAAATATGTTGGAATTGGGTAGGTTTGCAATGACTTAAGCAATGACATGTAATCTGTATAAAAAACTAAAGGGGGGATTTTTTTTGATAAACATTTAACATATTTTTGTTATTTTGATCAAACTGAAGTACGTCCTTATAACATAACCATTTTCCATAGATAATGGTCCTCACCAATAGACGGTTCTATCTTTACAAGAAAAATGCCTTTAAAAAGGTATGTTTTATTGCTGTTAATATTATAATGCTTACATATAGACTATTTATTCTATGTAACTTTCACTCAAACGACGACTTTTTAGGAACTCCACCGGTCAAAGAAATATCGACATTAGAACTTAAGGCTGGTAATAAAATAAAATTTAATTACAATATTACAATTTTCTAACAATACCTTTATAGAGTATTAACAGAGTCAAAGGAAGGCTAAAGTAACATCCAAGCATTATAATGGTATATCTTATTGGCATGTATACAACCACAAAACTAAATAAAATATTTAAAGTTATATCAAACCCTCCTATACACTACTGAAATATAAATACACAATGCAATAACACGTGCTTTACTGCCAATAATAGCAATAAATAAGAAAATGTAAGCCTGCCTAATATAAAAGGATGGGTCTAAAAGAAAGGTCAAAGGTTTGTCCGCTTAAAAAAATGACAACCGTGAACGTTTTGTTATTATAGAATATCATAACTGCCCCTTGTACTATATCCCTACCACAAAGAAAATTTAACGCAGGGAAAAATTGCATCTTTTTTAAGCCTATGGTTACAAGCTATAACAACGAAGAAATATCCAAGCGGTGACATGAGTGTATCTTCAGTAGACATTGCTGAAAAATCTGGCTACAGACAAAAGAGATCAATCGCTTTTTAAAAGGGCATTGGCCATGGTTGACCGGTAGTTAGGCCAATGCTTCCTAAATCAGGTAGTGCAATCTGTACACATTTGGATCGTACGAAACTTTGATGATCTCTTGCTTTATCATTAGGGAGTTGAATTTACATCACCGTCACCATGGTTTTAATGGATGCGGTTGATACGCTGAAGTTGACCTTCCCGGACGTAATTTTCTCTTTCATCATTCAAGCCAAAGTATCCATCCATTTTGTTTTATATGGCACCTGTTAATCCATTCATCCATCCATGCATGAAAAAAAAAAAACATCAAAAAAAAAAAATTGAACTGAGCTGGATAGATGCATGGATCGAACGCTCTACCATCTTTAAAATGCTACCAACAAAATCATTTTTTTAAATATACATATTAAAAAAGCTCACTGCTTTTGGCACCGTCGCTACCGGAAAATACCATCACTGAATCCTTATAAATAATGTTACATCGCGCCCTTTTTTTCTCTCCCTTTGGCAGCTTGTACCACAGTAGTAGTAGATAAGGAGAGTTATCTACTATCGGTTTGGCAGTGCCGATGTAGGGATATTCAATTTCAATAGCCAATAGGAAGTGAGATGTAAATATTCATACTTGAACAACGAATATTGATATGCCCGAGTGTCATTATGTTTGTCTTTTTTTATAAAAATGCACAGGAAGGTTAAGGGAACGTTTGTTTAGTTGGAGGTTTTTCAAAACCGTCAAAAGTTCTCTATTAATCTTGCATGGAAGCTGTTCTTTTTTTTTTTTCTTTTTTTTTCTTTTTTTAAAAAACCGAAAACATTTTTCTTCGCTTTTTTACTTTCTTATCACTCAATCACCCTAATAATACCATCCTTGTTGAGACATTACATGAAGGCATGTATACAGATAAAAGGTGTATTACATTCCTGCGATCGGATGACAAGATAAAAAGACGAAAAAATTGTCAACAATCTACAGCATACTACATCTACCAGCAGATGCCTGTTTGTCAGAATCAAACACATAGCAGCACATTTGGGCGTTTGTGTTGGTGACATCATCTTGACCACTGGGCTCGACGTGTGACGGGTCGAAGCACCATGTTGGCTCATTACCTCCATCATGGCCAAGAATTGCTTCTGTCCATTTCAAGGCTTGTGCGAAAAATAAAAAACAACGGAGCCAACAAACTATTATTGATTCGTCACCTTTCGTAAACTGTTAAAAGAGGAGTGAGTTGGCTATTTACGTTCTACTATCGCATGATACTAACTTCTGATATAGACTGTAGAACATGACATACTGGTTTCCACGCGACACTTTTTTTGTATACCATCTGTAAATTTGAGTCACGTATACAGCTGATCCCTTCCACATGCGTGCAGTCATTGTAATCGTATAATTGTCTAGTGTGAACAGTAGATCAGAAAGCGGGTGTCGGTAGTATTTGTCTAAAGACTTCATGATCACCTCTTATTGAACACCTTCCATCAACAAATTCACAATAACTCGACTGGTCAAAAAGGCTCCCACAATTGACTTCCCTCAGTATCGTCTGGGCTATCAACAAAGCTTGATTCACCATCATACGGTCCTGTTGTGATTAAATTTAAGACGCACTCATCTATAACCCTCCCAACACAAGCCGGAAGTGCAATTTTTTCGAAGATATTACTAGAGTTTTTTTCACTTTGTCTATTAGATCTGATCAGTTTGGAATATTTTCTTATAGTACGCTCCATGGTTCTTATAGAGTAAGCACGTAGAGGACCTTGTTTTCTGATAATGAGCGGAATATGGATTAAATAGTCTTGAACTGGTCGAAATACGGCACGCGATAGGTTCTTATGACCCATCTGTTCAACAAGAAATTCATGCAAGTCTTGAAATCATTTGTAGAAGGTTGAATAAAGGGGGTGAGTAACAAAGTATTATGGCAAGCATCCTTATTTCATTTTACTTACGTTTCCATTCTGGTCAGAGTTTGTTGTTGAACCTCCCATTTTAATGCAAGACCACACCCTTTTACCAGCGAAATGATTGCATTTTGGAGCTCTGGGTTGGAAGGTGTACGATGATTAATGTTGGAACAACATACAAAAGAAAGGCAAGCCAATCTACGGCACGAGTCCCATCTGTTCTGGCTATCCAGTTATAAAACTACTCTGGAACAATACTAGTATGTATCTTCTTGAGTGCTTAATGGCGTTGCCTATTTCTATCAACTTGGGCTTGGGGATGAAAAAAGGGTAACAGGTTTTACTCTGGATCCGATCGACAATTGAACAAAAAAGCATTATTTTTGGAAATATCCACCATGATGGAATCGTACACAAGCTTACCAATACCTCTAGTTACTAAATGTAACTAATCCAATGCAAAAAAAAAACTATGAACCCGAAAACGAAAGGAATCCCTTGAAGATGCTTGACTGATATATGTTCGTAGCCTTGACATTTAAATAAATGTAATTACAACCATAGTAGTTAACTAATTAATTTTAGCTTACAGGATTGCTTTGCTTGAAATCGGATGAAGGACCCAAAGATGCGAAACTATCGTCCAAGGTCATCCCCCTCATGTCGATTGTCTGTTGCTGTCCTTTAGTTCCACACAATCTGCAGCCGACCGGTATTGTGTGGGATCCCACATGTGCCATATCGGCCATCAACAGGAATATCGCCGGATGCCAATACTAGATGTACCTTTCCTCATTTTGTTTGATTATCATCCGATGAACCAAGACGTCCTTCAATTCCATAATATAGGCATCAAAAACAAATCCAAATCCTTTCGTTTTTTTGGACCTGGCAATATGGCTAGTTGTAGCAAGTATGCATCCGAATTTTTAACAAGGAGTAATATTAATTTATATTATTATTTTACAGGAAAGGCATAAATGACTAATATAAGGGTAGAAGTTGAAGGTAATTGCGTGGATCATAGCGTGAATTGTCATCTGTTTGGTGCGGTTAGTGAAACCATCAGTATAGAAAGCGATAGGAACATCATCTGGATTGGTGAACTCAAATTCCTTGTAATCTTGACCGTCGAAAAAATCACGAATTTCAACTTGACTTGTTTCCCAGTTCACTCTATACTGCATAAGATCCCTCGTTTTTTGTTTCTGCAAGCATTTGTGAAAGCATATAACCGAGGGACATGATGGTGGTGGTTATTGCAGGTTCCTGATTATTCTGATTCTTGTTTCTGAATTCATTGCAATGCGGACAAGTCTGCTCATCACCGTCAATCACAAAAAGCTTGCCTCCGTTTTTACAAGTTTCATACTCATAACCTCGAATACTCGACTTGGACTTGCCTAATGCATTGATAACATCAGCTTGCGATACTTTGGCACATGGCTCTGTTTTCGTTTTGATAGTATGCTTAGATGTCAGGAATTGCCACAATAATGATGTATGTATACCTTCCATTATTTGATCGTGGTATCTAATAACCGTATTAATCAATCTTACCAGCTCTTTGTTTCCCGCTTGAGAAATTTCGTTCTCGTCAAAGCTGGATACTAAAAAAAATCTGCTTTGATAACGCTATTCTTACTTATACCGCCATTATTGTAAACATGAACAAGACCCTCGGTTTCTTCACATCTACATTCAGTCAAATAGGGAACTCTTTCATCTAAATCTCTTTGGTCGTTGCGGACTGTTACATGTTACCCCACAAATCGAAGTAAGCGTTATGTCATATACCTTGCATTTTTATAAAACTAC